ATTAACATCTCGGAAACGGACAGCCAGATCCCGCATTAACATCTCGGAAACGGACAGCAAGGGCCCGTATTAACATCTCGGAAATGGACAGCCAGATCCCGCACTGACATCTCGGAAACGGACAGCCAGATCCCGCACTGACATCTCGGAAACGGACAGCCAGATCCCGCACTGACATCTCGGAAACGGACAGCCGGATCCCGCATTAACATCTCGGAAATGGAAAGCCAGATCCCGCATTAACATCTCGGAAACGGAAAGCCAGATCCCGCATTAACATCTTGGCTCCTGCCCAATTAGTCAACAATCGGCTGTCAAGGCTGGGGGCTCCTTTCTTTCTCAGCTCACCAGGACCTTTCCTTTGCCACTTTGGAGGAGACAGACACCAGATATCTGAAAGCAGGGATCACCTGCTGTACACACAAAGGCCACCAAAGGCCAGATGTGGTGGTTTGTGCCTGTAATCCCACACTTTCGGAGGCCAAGACAGGAGGAATGCTTGAGACCAGGAGTTTGAGACCAGCCTGGGCAACACAGCAAGACGTCATCTCCACCAAAAATTAAAATATTAGGTGGGCATGGTGGCACACTCCTGTAGTCCCAACTACTCATGAAGCAGAGACAAGAGGCTTTGTGAGCCCAGGAGTTTGAGGCTGCAGTGAGCCATTGCACTCCAGCCTGGGCGACAGAGCAAGACCTGACTCTCAAAAATAAAAGAAATGAGAACCAGCCAAGGGGTGGATATGGAAATCAACTGTCAAGCTGTCCACAAACACGATGTACAAATGAACACACACCCCCTAACCCATGACTGCTGGAACCCTCCAGAACTAGAGTGGGCATGTGCCCTTTGGTTGGGTCCCTGGGTGTGATATTGGCTCACCGCAACCTCCGCCTCCCGAGTTTAAGCGATTCTCCTGTCTCAGCCTCCGAGTAGCTGGGATTACAGGCGTGTGCCACCACACCTGGCTAATTTTTGTAGTTTTAGGAGACATGAGGTTTCGCCATATTCCTCAGGCTGGTCTCAAACTCCTGGGCTCAAGTGATCCGCCCACCTTGGCCTCCCCAGAAGTGCTGGGATTCCAAGCGTGAGCCACGGCACCCAGCCTGGCTGCTTTCTGACGCTCACCTCTGGCTAAGAACCCAGAGCGGTCACCCGACGCCCTCTCGGGAGCACAGCACATTTTCTGCTTGTTTGCTCCCGCTGCTCTTGTGTACGTTTTAGGGATGCCAGCACTTGCAAAGAGCCACTGAAGAGGCCCAGAGCCGCTGTGGGATTTGCAAGAGTCCATGACGGAGGCTTCACTGGAATCCCCCTCCTGGCTTCAAGGAACTGAGGCTCCAAAACGATCCTCTCCCTTTCCCACCTATCCTATAACACAATGAAGTTGAAATGCATGTCACTCCTAACTTTGGACCACTGGGCGTAGAATGCCACTGCAGAATCAAGTCCCGGCCAGGCCACAGGTGATGCAGCTCGTGTGGAATCAGCGATGTGAGGGCCTCTAAAGAGGCGAATGTTGATAGAACCAACTAGCCATCATCCAAGTGCGGTTTCTAGGATGCGGGAGGTGGGGTCTCCCTTGACTTGGCTGACTCTGGCTGGGCTTCGAGCACCCACCCACACTCACACAAAGGAGGCAGGAAGATCCATCTGCAGGCTCCGGGGGTGAACACGGACCAGCAAGGGGACAAAGGCTTGGAGTAACCCTCCTTTTTTTATTTTGTTTTGTTTT